TTTGGTGCTTTCACTTCCAGAGACAGTTGTAAGCACTTTGTAACTGTCTCGAGGATGCTTGACCATTTGAACACAACATGGTGCGATCATCCCCTCTGCGCGGAGTGAGGGTTCTCGACCCCGCACAACGTGATCTACTCGACCACCATTATGGTTACCGCAAAAAAAAAACAGAGGTAAAAAAAAAAAAAACGGTAACCTGGTTGCCGAGTTCACGAAGTGAATTGGCTTGTTTTACAACGTCGTTGCCAAGCGACGAAAACCCAACCCTGTAGGGGGGGGGAGGTCGGGGGCGGAGGGTTCGGACTGAGCGGTGCAGCCTCTGGAGTCACCCATGTTGCGAAGAGAGAATAATAGCATTTCGCTATTTTAGTGTTTTTTGCCCCATTGTCTGTCCCACAAGGTAATGAAGCAATCTCCGTGTTGCCAAGGGAGAGCTATATTCTTGTCTTTCGCTATTTTAGTGTTTTTTGCCCCATTGTCTGTCCCACAAGGTTAATGAAGCAATCTCCGCCTGACAAGGACAAAAAAATACGAGAAATGCTTCCTCTACAGTAGGGCGTGCGAATTTTCTGGTGTTGGCTTCCTGTGGTTTTCGTGCCCTTGTCGTTTGCCGCGAGCGTCGACCGAACCATCGGGTAGAAAGGTTGTCGTCGGTTTCAGCTGGAACATGGAACATGACCCTTGTGTCATGGGTGCGGGGGACCCCCCCGGGTGGGTTAGGGGGTGGTAGGAAACACGTAGACTGCTCCAGCGTTAAGACAGAGGTGGTCAGTAGATTTTCTCCGTTACTGACTTGTTGCTGTTTTTGGTGTCTCTCACAATCGCTTTGATGTTCGGTTGCGAGTTCTTCTTTTAAGAGTGTCGGCTCTCGAGCCTTGACGGCCTCCCTACGGCCGGCAATTATTTTATTATTTTTTTCCGTTGCTCCATCGCCTACATTGAAGAAAGTCATCCCATCCTGCCATGTATATCTGACTCTTTGCCTCGCACTTTTTTGTTTGTACTCCAAGCGAGTGGTTGGCCTACTACGCGGCACCACGTGCTCCCCGCCTCACCGTGTGCTCTCTCCTTCGGTGCTGCTCCTGCCAAACTCAGTCACACGAACTTAACCTATGGCCAAGTACGTCCTCCTTACTGCCCCCCCCCCCCCCGGCCCCTCTTCTCTTCCTGCACCCCAAACTCGCGTGCGCGCGCCGTTTTGAATCCCCTATCCCGCTGCCACCCACCCACCCACGCCCACCCTCAGGGAGAGGTGGAGAACATGGTGGACACGTACATGCGAAGGGGCATGTCCCGGGAGGACGCCCAGGAGGTCTCGGCGAGGCTCTCCAAGTACGACGACTGCTTCGTGGACGCGGTGATGGTGGCGGAGGGGGTGGGGTCCTCCATGTTCGCGTCGCCCCCGCTGGACGAGGCCGGGTCCATCCGCGAGGGCCTCGTGACCTTCGGGTCGTTCGCCCTCTCCGGCATCGTGCCTCTGCTGTCGTACGCGCTGTCTCCCCTGATCTCGGCGAGCGGCAGCAGCGGGCAACCAGTGTCTCAGGGGGTGCTGTTCTTGTGGGCCTGCCTCCTGACCGCGGCCGCCCTCTTCTCGATTGGGGTCGTGAAGGTGCGTGTGTGTTTGTGTGTGTGCTTCTTTTCTTCATCGACCGGGCGAACAGGGGTGACCAAATACGGAAATACATCAGTCTCCGTCCAGGTGAAACTGGTTTGTGTGAGTGCTTGCATCGACCACGCTCACCGTGTGACGAATGATCGGAAGTGTGCGTTGGTCTTTCATTAGATTTTTTTTTGCGCATTCCGGCTGACAGGGTCTCCCACTAAGCGTCGTGTGCGCATGAGCTTGGATCGCTCGCGTCGTTCCTACTGCTGTTGTCGCCCTCCTACCGTTTAGGTTGTTTCGGCCGCCCCTGATAGTTTCGGCCTCTGTCCAGGTTCTCACTCTCCTTCATTGCGCTTCAAGGCGAAGGCGTACCCACGCATAGCGCTATCGCGTGCTTGTTATCCTGTTTACCGCGGCATGGAGTTATTTTCCGACAGCGGTCAGTCGAAATGTTTTGGAAGTTTTTCCCACGTTGGTCGCGTGGTTCCGTACTGCGAAAACGTACAAGTAGATACCTATTGTTGCACAGCGCACGTATCTCTCCTGTTCGTGTCACTATCGAACGTAATCGTTTTTCTCTCGTGTTGTTTTTCCCTTTCGGCAGTCGACTTTCGTTTCGCGCTCCTGGTTCGGATCCGGGATGGAAACACTGGTTCTCGGGGGGTGCTGCGCGGGGCTGGCGTACGAGATTGGCGCGGCCGTGTCTAGCTGTGTGGCGGGTATGTCGTGACGGCAAAGAGGCTTGTGTGTAGGGGAAGGGGGGTGGTAGGGCAAAACACGCAGCGTGAGGAATAGTGCCTGTCGCAAGGACGTTGTTGATCGAGATATAGACACACGACGGAAGGAAAGGGGCGCGCGTGAAGGACAGACCGGGGAGCAGGGGGTTTGGGTTCCGAGAACATGAGAGCACTTGTATTTTATGTTTCCCGAGAGAATGTAACTTGCTTTACATCGTACCGTTGGATGGACGTAGTGGGTGTGTGTCAGAAGCGGGCTCGAGAGCGCAGTGGTGTTGGGGACGGGGGCGCGTCCTGGGGCAACATAATGGGGGGGGGGGGGGGGGTCCCGCATTCGAGCTTTTGTCGGTGGGGGGTGGTTTCGGGTTGACGCGACAAGTGTGTGTTGTGCGCGCAACTCGCGATTGGGTTCGGTTTTGTTTTTTCGGCCGGCGATTCTTGCTGTGCATACAACGATAGTTTGTTGGTTGGGGGAGCTGTCCGGGCGGTGCTGCTATGTTTTTGTTCCAGATTGTTTATTGTTGTGACATGTTTTTGTGCCTCGAGAAAGGTAACCCTTTAGTACGTACGCCATTGGTTTTGTCACATTTTTTTTTTTCGTCTCATGTGGTTTTTGTCCAGCCTTAGCCGTGTTTTTCTCCCTGGGGGGACTGCAAGGCACGAAGACTAATCATGGGCGGTGTTGGTGACTACACTGTCTGGGTTGTGTCGGCTGTGTTCAGGGCGGGGTAGGGACCCAAAGGGGCAGGGTAAATCAATATGGAACCCTCTGCCGTCGCCCTTTGGTTGTTTTAGCTTTTCGTTCGATGGCGGGTTAAACGTTTTTTTTCTTTTTATTCTTTTTGTTTTAGACGCATGCTGATTGGAGTATTTTGTTTTTGCTTGGGGTGTTTCTTGCAGGTGGTATGCGTAGGTGTCTTTAAATGTTGTGTTTGCGCTAGCTAGTTGTTTTGCATGGTTTTGCTTTACTAATAGACCACAACGTTGTTGGATGGTGCCGACTTGTCATCGATATGCATTTCTAGCCTTCCTGTCGATCATTTGCTATTTCTCTTTGGATGACGTTCTTCATTAATCCATGATCTTCCTGCAAGAACCATAGATTTTGTGTGGCCGTGTGGATATTGTCTCGAGGCACGACAAGCCATGCGAAACGTCCAAATCCAACCGACTTTTACATTATGCAAAGATGTGTAGCGTCAGCATCAGCAAGGTTTGCAATAATAGCAGGTGGGGATGGTTGGCGGATACATACATGTTGTGGTGTCGATCGCGACGCAGGCGTCCCGTGGTGCTTGAGACTACATACGACTCGCGAGCGCGACCATCGCGTCTTCCGTTTGTTCGGTTGCAACCGATCGAAGGAAAAGCACCGCAGGAGAGGGGCGGGAGGGAGAGGAACCCTTCTGTGTGACCACGGATTGGAGCTCTGTGTGACCGCGGGTTGGAGCCAGCTCCTGGCAGAAAAGCTGTGTGTGGTGTCAGCGCTGATTAAAAAAGTGATGACCTAATAATACCATTTATCTGCTCCGTAGTTTTGACGAATGACTTCGGCGACGAAAGCGGATGTCTGTGTTGGGAGTCGTTTCGTAGCGGTCCAGGATGGTTGAGCGTTGTTGGTAGTGATCGATGCGGAACGGGGCAAGAGAAAGCTGTTGTTGTTGTTGCACGAGATCACATGCAACCCCTGCGTGTATGCCACTCGCCCGTTTATCTTTAAACGAGCGTTGCCACAGAGGGCTTGTTGGTGCCTGTCGGGGCAGTTCATTTTTTTTTCTTCTTTGATATAAAACAACAAGGACTTCAACACATCCCTTTCGACTGTGGTATTTTCTCGAACGAGTAATGGTCCTTCTGTGAAAGGTCATGTATTATTTCTAACAAAACTCCCGTATTCCTTTTTCAGAGTCCGCTCTTTTTTCCCTGTTGAAGGCAATAGTTCATTCCTTCTGTTGGGGGGACGAAGAGGACCTACCGCCAGTTCGATTTCCGGACAAACCAATTGAATTTCCCCGCTTTCACGTTCTATTCTTGCAATCTTCAATTTTGTTCACTCTGCCAAGATCGGCTGCTAACCACTGTGTAGTCCACCGGCCTGCTCGACGAACCGATCAAGCTGTTCCGTCTGTTAAGTACAAGAAGGGAAATGGTAGGAGGGTATTTGTGTGCTGTTTGGCACTGAAGTCCCGCCGTGCGCCAACAGTTTGTTGTGCATGAAGGGTGAGGGCCGCGAGACCTTCGTGGGGTGACATGCGTAAGAGCGTTCATGACAAGGGGAGTGGGTGATGTCCCGCTGTGGCATGTGGCTTCTTAGCACCGGACAATGACTGTGGCAACTTCGGCTACGGAGTGTATCGGCCTGTTAGTAGTGCTGCAAGAACCACCGCGCTCTGCGCCATATGCTTAATGCAAACACGCATCGTCGCCGGTGGGGCGGGATTCATTCATAACCTTTTCTCGGAGCGTATAGATCTAGACTAAAGTGAATATTCTGCATCGCAATAATACCTTCACATCTTCACCGCCGTGCAGGTGCGTTCGCACGCCGGCACGTACGTACGCTGCTTGTACCTAACACATGTACATATATAGCTCCCGTATCGTCTCTGGAGATCTTGCCGAGAATCATGGGTTGGTTGTTGTCTTCATCGTTTCCCACATCCAAAATCGACCCTTTCAAAGGTCCAATTGATGATAATACTCCACATGCGGCTAGATCTCTCACTACAGCTCTATAACCTACAGTATATATGGCAGTAGCATCGGTGAAGAGTTCCTCCGCGATTCACAACAACCAAGCGTTTTGATTGGCTGAAAAATGAGGTGTGTCATCCATATCTCTCCCCCGCCCTCTCCCTCTACCGCTCGCTCCCTTCCTCGCTCGCTCCCTCTTCTCCTTTCACGCGCACATAGACAAGACACCATCCTTTCATGCCGAGACGCGCGTCGACGAGTCTGATAACTTTTCGTTCACGACCTTTGAAGATTTCCGTGCAGAACGCGCTGCTTACAGGACAGCAGGCCAACACGAGGACCCGCAAACAGAGCGCTTGAGCGGATAGAAGGCGTGCGTGGGAGACACGCCACACACGGCACACAGGGTAGGGTATTTCAGGAAAGAGCCAGCTAACAACGTGTAGATTGTCCGCGGCGTCAGCAAGAGGATCCTCAGCGAGAGAGAGAGGGGAAGGCATTTACAACCTCCGCTTTGAGCAGCCATGGGAGAGCAGGAAATTTGGGACGAACGTTCGAAGACGGAGCAGGAGGATCCTGCCCTGCTGAATTCATGTGCGAAACATGATGATGACGATGCTACCGGTGGTTCGAGCAGCAGCTCGGAGTCTCGCCGGCAAGCGATAGATAACAGCGAGTTTCCGATCTGCTCCAACTGCCAGCTGCGTCATCCCGGCGACAGCAAGGGCTCGTTCTGCACGGAGGGGAAGCAGGGGCCGCTGGAAACCCTGTTCGCGATGGTAACGTTGGGCTTGGTAAGTCATCTGGCAGGGTGGCAGCAGGGTGGCAGCTATCTGATCGTGTTATCGCGAAGTAGTGTATCCGACTAACAAACGATTGAGAGCCCCAGCAGATTGTACCGGCAGAAGTCCTTGTGTAGCTGTTCGTTGTAGGCAGGAGATGGCGACACGAAGAGGTCACTATACACTCACTCCCGTATCGCACACCGTGTCTGTTGGAACGTCTACTTTTATTGTGTTTATTTAGTCTACTGCTGTCTACTGGTGGAACCTAGTAGTCTACCTGTGTCAAGTACAAAATTTCGTTAGACATCCGCGCTTGATCCGAACAGCCTACGCCCAAAACAGCCCAACAGCCCAACAGGAGCACGAATTCGGGGCCAGTAGGTGCTGCGCGTGTGGATCATACGCTACTACTTTTGTGTGTAGGTGCTGCGCGTGTGGATCATACGCTACTATTTTTGCGTGCAGTGCACATAATATGCAGCGTTCTGTGCAACGTACGATTTTAGTAGTTCGCCCCGCCTCTGACTTTCGTTGCCGACGATGAGCGAGAGTGGATGGATTTCGACTGCAAACCAGATTCTTGGAGAAAAAAACACAGACAGGTACATATCTTTGTCTAGACTTAGTCTACACTGCTGAGACACCCTGGTACGGTACAAAACGTAGACTGTTTGTCTACGGCCGTGTCCCTGTGAGCAAGGACTTGAAGTCTAAAGATTAACCTTACAAGCGATCTTGGAGTACGAAAATATTTTAAGATGTTTTTTTGGGCGCTCATCATGTACACGGCCAACACGGCCGGATTAAATACAATATGAACAGCAACACCAAGACATACCAGTATTGGTATTGATGACGACGATGAACGGACCATGTAGACTACCTTTAGACACAACATTGATGCACAGAGGAGCCTCGAATTCATGTATCTCTGGCGATACCAGAGTCAGTCGCACGTAGTCTACAGTCTTGTAGGTGTTGCCTCTGCGGCCTCTCGAAGACATGCAGAATGTATGTTGCGCTTTGGTTTCGCAGAAAAAGATAACTCATTGTCCACCGTGATGTCTCTCTCGTGTTTGGGGTGGCGAGTATCTGACAACAGTGCAAGGACACACAGCCTTTCGTCCTGGAATGGACGGGTGGGGATTTTGGGTGGGAACAAGTCGAACCAAATGAAACACAGACGGTGCGGACAGCAATCGCTCGTGTTATGTACTTACTGCTTGCTGTATGCTAGGGTGGTGTCGGGGAAAATATTTCAAAATTTGTATGAGGCATGTATTTTTGCGCGAAAGGGAACATACATTCATTCGCCTGCCCGTTTGTCGGCGTGGCTGTTTTTTATTCTCATGTCCCCAGGTGTGCGGCTGGTGCTACTTGTTTGTGATCACGTTGGTACTGCTCGCCCTGCATGCCCTCGTCTTTAAGTCCGTCTACACGCTTGCGGCGGTGTCGCTCCTGCTCGGCAACTTCCTGTGGTGGTGAGCACAATAACATTCCAAGTACTATCTGCAAGGACTCACGACGACAGCTACACCGTTTGGTATTTTGTGTTTTCGGAGTCTTCTGCTTTGTTTCGACCGACGATGTGCATCTGCTCGTCGTTTGATAAACAACACGTTGTTGTTTCGCATTGCTGAATCAAAACGACGTGTCCATATGATAAAAAACATGTGGTGTCCCATGGCCGCACCCCGAAACGACCCGCTATTCGGATGATTCACGGTGGTAGTGTTCGAAAAGTGCTCTTCGACACGACATCGGGTGTGTGCTACAAGTTCGTACTCACTGGCTTGATGTACGGTTTTGTTGAACAGGCCGGTGAACAACACCTGCTATCCTTACGAGGCATTCTGCAACTCATGGCTGTTCGCGGTGTGGCGGAGGTATTTCAGGTGCGGGACGAGGATCGCAGGGCACGTCGCTAAGATTTGCAGTAAAATTTCGTTGCTGGGGGGGAGGCATGGAATGCTATGCTAACGTGGGGCTCGTTAGTTGTCCGAAGAATCTTGCGTACAGCGTCTGGCGATCGATTCAAGCAAAGAGATCGCTAAGCATTGAACAAACTATAAATGCTCTTGTTGGCATGCGTCACCCACCAAACGACCTTTCGGCACTTAACGACCCCCTGTTTTCAGGTGGCAGTGCGTTCTCGAAGAGCCCCTGGATCCGGACAAGCGCTACATGTTTGCCGAAATGCCGCACGGAGTCATGGTGAGATATTGGTACATTCTCCGTTTTTCGCCTTGTACGCGGTGATAGTCAAAAGGTCCCCTTCCACGGTACAGGAAACATTTTTCGCGACCTCTCTTCGGCCTTCAGCATTCCAGCGGCACCCTGAATAGGTGGCTGTGATTATACTACCGACGCTGTTTTTGAGGTTTTGTCCGTCCTCATACGGAGTGTTGGAGAAACTCAAGCTCCAGGATGGGGGGGTGGGAGAGCTTCCAACTTCGTTGGATACTCTCTCGACTCTCGTTGTTCTGCAAGCTGGAACTATTGCACCCCCCCCCTCACCCCCCCACTCGGTGTTTGCCATCGGGGTTGGGTTTTCGTCGCTTGGCAACGACGTTGTAAAACATGCCAATTCACTTCGTGCACTCGGCAACCAGGTTACCGTTTTTTTTTTTTTACCTCGTTTTTTTTTTTTTTGGCGGTAACCATAATGGGGGTCCAGTAAATCACGTTGTGCGGGGTCGAAAAAGCTCACTCCGCGCAACGGGGGATGATCCCACCACGTTGTGTTAAAATGGTCAAGCTTCCTCGAGACAGTTACACAGTGCTTACAACTGTCTCTGAAAGTGAAAGCACCAGAAAAAAAATCAAGTCATACGTAGCTGTCATCCGTACGCAAGGAAATAAGCACAAGATGCCGAACACCCTTAGCAGGATGCAGCTCACCCTTCATGCGACTCGCCAAAAACCTCACGGCGCTTCGCGCTTGGTGATGTGAGAGCCTGGTCCGGTGAGAACCCGGCGTGCTCCGTCCCGGCTTTGTAGGGATGCGAGGTCAATGGTCTAACGACTACGGCATGCACGACTAGGAGTACCCCCCCCCCCCCCTCACCCCCACGCGCGCAATTGGTCAGGCCACTGCTCAGTTCTGTGAAGAAACTCAGCATGCCGAAAGGGCTCAGCAAAATATGTAGCTCACTATCCCGTGCGACCAACCTCCCCTCTCCTCTTACACCGCCCTCCTCTGAAAAACACAGCCGTTGGGTCAGCTTTTGAGCTGCAGCATTGTGCGCCACGTGTTCCCCGGGGTCAAGAACATCTCCGGGGTCGCCGCAGACGCTGTCTTGCGCACCCCTGGGATTCGTCTCCTGTACTCGTGGATGGGCATCCGCAAGGCCGGCCGCAAGAGCATCCTCGACATGTTCGAGGAAGACATCAACGTGAGCAGACAAAGAGAAGAGGCGACCGCATAGTTGGGGACAAGGGTTGCAAATGAGGGAAGAGGTACCGCGGTACGTAGTCGTCATGCGTGACGGCAGTACTAGTGTGGCCTTGCAGCCCATCACAGTGTTCACGAAGTCGTGAGAGATTATGCCGGCCAGGTCGTTAAGACGCGAGGCGCTCGGGTTGCCCTACCATGCCTAAATTGAGCGAAAGGTAGAAGAATGTCCTGCACGACTTGGACCTGAATGAGACTTGGCAAGAAAACAGGCGAAAACGGTAGACCTCGGCATGGTCGACGAGCTCTCGGGATCACGTGTGTGCTGGGAGAATACAGACGATCACGAACCAATGACTAGTCTTACATCGGTGTATCATCCTTGTTTTTTACCGCCCCTCCCCGCCGCCCCCTCGATGTTTGCCATCGGGGTTGGGTTTTCGACGCTTGGCAACGAAGTTGTAAAACAAGTCTCCCCCCCGGTGTTTGCCATCGGGGTTGGGTTTTCGTCGCTTGGCAGCGATGTTGTGAAACAAGCCGATCACTTCGTGAACTCGGCAACCAGGTTACCGCTTTTGTTTTGTCTTTTTTTTTTTTTTTGGCGGTAACCATAATGGTGGTCGAGTAGATCACGTTGTGCGGGGTCGAGAACGCTCACTCCGCGCAACGGGGGATAATCGCACCACGTTGGGTTCAAATGGTCCGCACTCTCGAGACAGTTACAAAGTGCTTACAACTGCCTATGGAAGCGCAAGCACCAGAAAATAAATTAAGTCATACGCAGCTGTCATCCGTGCGCAAGGAAGTAAGCACAAGATGCCGAACACCCTTAGCAGGATGCAGCTCACCCTTCATGCGACTCGCCGAATACCTCACGGCGCTTCGCGCTTGGTGATGTGAGAGCTTGGTCCGGTGAGAACCCGGCATGCTCCGTCCCGGCTTTGTAGGGATGCGAGGTCAATGGTCTAACGACTACCGCATGCACGACTATGATTACACTCCCCCCCCCCCCCGCCGGCCCTTTCCCCCCGTTTACTTCCTGTTGCCTCTTTTCTGGTCCAAATGACCAATCTACGCGCCGACGAACTTTGCAACAGGTCGCGGTGGTTGTCGGAGGAATCGCAGAGATGTTCATGGTCTCCAACCACACTGAAAAGCTGTACCTGAAGAAGCGCAAGAACTTCACAAAGATCTCCATCGAGGTACCGTTAGCACAAATCTGCATCTTTGCAAACTTGAAGAGCCCGGCTGTTGTCCCTGCGTGTGTTTGGGATTGCCGTCAGGGCCGCAGTTGTTGTTATTGGGGAGCTGACTAAGACCATCTACTATCGATAAATGGCCAGCTGACTAAATCTGCGAGGTTGGTGTCTCGTTAACATCACGTGTTGTTCCGAGCAGGCCGGGGCAGATATCGTCCCCGTGTACTTCTTCGGCAACTCTCTCTTGCATGGACTTGTTGGTGGGGAGGGCGCGGACAACTGTCTTTGCAGGCTGTCTCGGAAGGTATGTAGGCGGCGCAGCAGAGGGGGGGAAATGTGTATGCAACCCGACAAAAACTTTTGATACACCAAATCTTCAGGAGTACCAACATCTATCAGACATTCTGACCGACCTGCCAGCACGATACACACTTGGATCTCTTTCATCTGGACTGATTTCAATCACTTTTTGAGATTGCAGTTTTGCAGTTTCCTGCTGAAGACAGGATGTTACGCCATTGTTTTCAACTTTGTGAGCATCTGCGTATGGATATGCGTTGCTCTTGATCCTCAACATTTTCAAGAGTTCGAAGATTGACGTTGATGGAAGAAGCACTCACTAGTAATACCTATTCGATAAAGGTACACCTATAGTCCAGCTCATCGAATAAATGATATGCTCTGAGCTCGTTAGCACCCGGCTGGATCACTGGGGTTGCGGCTCTAATATCTGGGATTAAGAGTAGGGATCTCCGGGGACGGACCCCTCGCCAGTCTTCTGATGGTTCTAGGTGCACTTTTTTGGGATAGAAAAGTGATCCAGCAGGTATTCGAACTCGTGCGGGAAAAGATCCCAGTGACCAGCCGGGTGGCTACGAGCCGAGAGTATATCTTTTGTTAGAATGGCTTACCCATTAGACTACTCAGTCAGCGCTGGTCTAATGGTGAAATTTTATCTAACAATGCCCTTGGGACTCAGGGCGGCTTCACTCCGGCACGAGGTTTTCACTGTTTCCGCGTCTTGCCGCATGTCGAAAAACAACCAGACTGTAGGCAAAATCTTGGGTTTATCACTTTTTCCTCCCCAGCAATAGCGTGTCGATTTGTTCGAGATCCGCTTGCAGGAAGAACTGTCCCGCAGAAAACATGGTTCGTTTGCTGTGCCTTTTACGCACAAACTCGCCTTCTCCCCTCACTCGATTATCTCACTCTCGTCCAACTCTCAATTGTCATCGACTTCGCCTCCCTTGTGCACTTTGGTCTTGACCGTGCTGTCCGCCTCTACTCGTTGTCTATTGACGAAAACACGTGCGATACAAGTTCAAGACAGCGTTAGTCCTCTTCTACGGTCGTTTCGGTACGCCCGTGCCGCGGAGGAAGGAGCTCAAGATGGTGGCAGGGAGGTGAGAATCAAAAGTCGATAGCACACCTTTGATGCCCGCCGTTGTCGAGCTGCACCATGTTTACCCAGAGAGGAGAAAGTGGTTGTCGTTGGCCAGTGCCCCCCTCGCCACAACGAATGCTCAGTCGTCCACGCCGTACAATTGGGGTGGGACATTGTCTCACGACCAATGCATCATAGAGGGCTGGCGAGAGAAACCCACGCCACTCGGATGGCTGTAATGCTGCGCTGTTTCCATCACGTAGTTTGCGTTACAACGGGCTCTTCACGAAACGTGGTATGCGTATGTGTTTGTCTTGCCAAATTCCTGTCCGTTCTTACACCTTTGACTGTCGGTTTTGGCGTTCTTGGTATTGATTCAGGCTACAGCACGACCTTGCACGCAAAGAATGGTGGATCATCTTATTTCGCGACTTGTCTAGAGTATATTTTCTGTGCTTGCTTTGCACGCACGATAGTGAGTATCGTTGTAGGCCTGGTGTGCCACGTTGATGATGCATTGTTCCCATGTGCCCTGCGGAGAATGCGGCCGTCAGGCCTGACGAATCTGGTGCGGTCACCACCCGTTCAAAGCAGTTTGGAACCTGGGCATTGCTCGAAATTCATGTCTAGCATGCGTCAGTCAGCATCTGAAAAAACGCAGGGTATCGGGTGTCAGCTCTCCTCCATGTACAGTGTAGGCTCGAAAAGCATGCCTCCCACCCCGCGTCGTGATAAAGCCTGCCTGGGGAACCCCTCGAAGTACATCTATGTCACCATCTGCCTGGTGCAAGCTTCTGCGCCTAAGCCGGGCTACGCCTATGTCTTGCTCAGCAACGTTTCCCTGCCTCCCCGTTTCCCGACTTTCGATTGCTTGATTCGCGCGTTGATGTGCGTTGAACATAGGCCAATCGCCGTGGTTCAATCGAATAACCCTTCGGATGAGTATGTCGACGATCTTCATGCCGAGCTGCTGAGGCGGGTAGAGGAGCTGTACTACAAGCACCGGCCTGACTGGGAGACGCGAACGCTCGTGATTACGTGATCGGCAGAGAGAGGGGCGGGATGGCGACGCAAGAACCCCAGAATCGAAGGTTGCACGCCGAGGCTGTATAAATGTACACGATGTGCATCAGACGACATGACGCCAACGTTTTGCCAGTGTAGCCGCTTGGTCGACTGACACGGGCGTTTACCGGTTCCATCGTTTACCGTTTCCAACTATGGAGAGGAAGATGATGGTGCCGGGGGTGGGGTGCGGCGTCCCTGACAGATTAGTTGAGACGGAATGGAGGCCTTTAGACGCAAACCTGTTCGTCCATCGACGCTACTGTCCTTTTCTCTGATCTCGGACAGAGGGGCAAGAGGCAAGGGTAACGTCGCGTCGCTGTTCGTTTGGTGCTGATCGTACCAGTAAACACGTAGAGAGATAATCTGTAGTAGCTGTACTCGGGGTGGTTAGCCCGCCCGCTCTGGACGATATCGAGTGAATCAATGATTAGTGTTTTACCAGGCACGCGAAGTTGATTGGGTAGAGAAGAAGTGAATGTCTGGGTGGTGAAGCGAATCTTTGAACAGTGAAGTCGCTTGAAGATTGACCAGAGCACCCAATCTGGCGTGTATTATGCGAATAGGAGATGCCAGACTGATTATGTACGTTGTTAATTGGGAGTGGGCACGATGTGGATTGATAGGATATTGATGTTCGTGTGTATACTAGCATGCTTGATAGCGATTCTGGAGCCACACGGAGGCACTTGCCAAGAGTGAACGGCGTAAGCCGGCGTGATTACGGAGGATTGTGTGTGTGACTCCTGTCCATTGTAGAAAACGAATTGGCAGGTGCTCGATGTCGGCGATACAGACATTCATTGCGGTAGACATGTGTAACATGAAGGAGGTGGGTGGCGAAAAGCAACAGAGTGGGTACAAAGAGATCGCTAATGGCGACGTTGCATCATTAAATATCGCTCTTACGGTAGACATGTGTAACATGAAGGAAGTGGGTGGCGAAAAGCAACAGAGTGGGTACAAGGAGATCGCGAATGGCGACATTGCATCATTAAATAAGAAAACCTGTACGGACTGAACAGCAACGGAAAGGGGAAATCATATTTCTCGTGCTCTGCTCCGTGTCTTGGTGCCTCAACCCTACTCAACGGAGCAACATGCAGAACCGAACAAGAACGTTTCCGCGTTCGAGCAAGTCACCCTAAGGAAGATCCTCTGAACATGGCGAATACGTACAAGACGCTGCTGATGACGTTTAGCTTCCTTGGCGGTTGCGAAAGTAGATACTGGTGTGATAATGTGATGCACAGTATATTTCACTACCGCAGAAGCATTTCCAGCACGTCGCTTCGGTGCTGCTACAATGGTGGAATTGGTACTCAACATCCACAAAAGGTAATACACTGTTTCCCCTTGTTAACCGATTTATCGACAACAACGACTCTGAGTGAAACAGTCCTCTACATTAATGTCCATATCTGCGTAGCTCCCATGGAAGTAGATGTTTACTTCCATGGATACTTCCATGGAAGTTCATTGATTTTAACTTCCATGGAAGCTCGAAACTGACTTCCTTCCATGGAAGTGTGGGCGACTTCCATGGAAGTTCACATGGCTGGGGGGTCAGCAACAACTTCCATGGAAGTTGAAGCTTTCATGGAAGTTTGGTAGCTTCCATGGAAGTAGTTTGGAGCGCTTCCACGGAAGTCGATTACACCCACTTCCACGTGCTTCCATGGAAGTGGGCCATAATCGGACAGCTTCCATGGAAGCATCATATCTAGCTTCCATGGAAGCATCATCGCTCTACTTCCATGGAAGTACACCACCCGACCCCAGGTTCCATGAAATTCAAAATATGCGGCTTCCATGGAAGCTGCTCAAACGTATGGTGGCGATACTTCCATGGAAGTACGCCATCCGCCCCAAGCTTCCATGGAAGTAATCAGGAGCGACTTCCATGGAAACGTTCACAGATGTCATGGCGATACTTCCATGGAAGTACATCATCACCCGTCCTACTCTCCGCTCCAGGTGGAAGTCAGTAGGTAGCATGACGGGAGGAGGAGTAGACTGTAGTCCGCGTGTCTCAGCTTCCATGGCAGATTTTCCCACCTTAACATAAGCCGGGGGATCCACCCCTCGGCCCTGTTTTTTGACTGGGGAAGGAAGAATCATGTGTCGCATGTTCGTGTGAAGTCGGATCTGGTGGTAGAACGACATGATGACTGTTCCAGGTGGGCTATAGCGGCTGCTCCTGGGGTATGCATGCCAAGATTGCGATGATGACCCTGTAGTGTGCGGGGTGTCTGCCATCTGTCGGAGAGCTCCACAGCTCCACATCGCCAGCAGCGCCAGCGGTAATTCACCCCATGCGAGAACAGGACGCCGAAGCACAGACGCCTCTTCCGGACCAGCGGGACTGTCCCCAGGCAAACTGAGATGATGGTGAAACAAATGCCGCCATCTGCTCTGCGACTTTTATATATGCCTTTTGTTCCATGGGGCAATATGTTCTTGGCCAGCTTCCATGGAAGTTGATGAAAGATGACCTTTGCTCGCCATCGAACACTTCCACGGAAGTTCGAAGAATGGCTTTCATGAAAGTCGCTGAATTTCACGGAAGTTGACCTCTGGCAAATTCAATGACTTCCATGGAAGAAGTGCAAGCAATGTCTTCCATGGAAGTCGACAAGGTTCCATGGAAGTTGCGTGGGAATCGAGACTAACGCTTCCATGGAAGTCCATTCCATGGAAGTTGATTCTCTTTCATGGAAGTCGCTGCCCAATCGTTCCGTTTACTTCCATGGAAGTTACTTCCATGTACTTCCATGGAAGTAAATGTGCTTCCTCCGTGGAAGTTAATGCCAGATTCTCGAATAGGATCGATGGACGGACTTCCATGGAAGTGAACGTCCATGGAAGGCCGACCGGACTTCCTTGGAAGTTTCAGGCGAGACTTCCATGGAAGCTACCACCGCTGATTCCATGGAAGCTCCATCGACTTCCATGGAGGAAGTACAAGGCACTTCCATGGAAGTAGCGTGGAAGTACGGTGGCGGATTCGCACGACCGCTTCCATGCGGCTTCCATGGAAGTACCTCGTACTTCCATGGAAGTAGATCGAGCTTCCATGGAAGCGGGGGAAGCTTCCATGGGCTTCCATGGAAGTAACAATATACTTCCATGGAAGTAGAAATCCACTTCCATGGAAGCGTGTACCATATGGACAATAATGTAGAGTGAAAACGGAGCAGCGCGTCCATCTTAACCAATCACGGGGCTGTCGGCCTCTGTTCAGAAGATTCCGCTCGCAGACACGCCTCGCGCTTGAAAGTACTACCAGGTTCCGATACAAAGATCGAACTGCAGACTTGTTACTACTGTAAACCACCTTTCCTCCGCTTCCCCCCTCCCCACCAGCCTCATGTGCTGAATAGTGCTTCCTTTCCCAAGCGACCATAACGCTAGGTTCTGCTCGGACTTTAGCTTGGCACAATCCCTTCCCTCCTGTCTCCGAGATCCAAGTAAAAGCACATCGAATTCAAACAATGGAATATGTGTACACGTGTCGCATGCCACGTACTGCCCTTTGCTGAGGGCGGAGCCCAGCTAGCCCTGGGTGACAAACTTCATGGAAAATACGTAGCGAGCTACTGAAGCCGCGAGGGCGACTGTGTGGCTACAAGGTGTGACAGAAGTACTCACACCCAATTGCTGTCCACAAGACTTGCAAAAAATGTAGGCTGCAAATCAACAAAAACAAATACACGCAGAGCCCCATGAGAGCCCCCTGGAGAACTTGACGACAAATCGCCAAAACCTGGACAAACAAAAAATTGACGACCAAGGCTTGCAACGAGTTGGACACGGCAAGATACCATTTGACGAAATTTCAGCCACTGCACCGTAGGCCAAGCACACCCACAACCTGATTTGCCTAGCAAAGGTGTTGAAGAACTAAACGCAAAATAGACAATGCACGAACCCAAGCTGCGGAGTGATGGCGATACTGCAAAAATATTGAAACGACTGAAGCAACGCTCCCACAGAAACAGGAACCCACCACCGACATCAATGACACCTCGCCACAAGTTCGCAAGCGAAAAGCGCACAACTTTTGCCTTTTGGTCTTCCTCTACAGTGCTCTCTAATCTGTCATCCCACTTCTGTAGCTCCCAAACCACATTCAACAATCGCCAGGTCTTCTTCGTCGGCCTCCTCCAGCGAGGGTCCTTACGGTAGCGGCCACAATAATCTTCTACATATCGGCACACAAGCAACACTCGCCATCTACCTCGATGGTGCAGCAGAAGAGAGTGAGTCTCGCCACTTTCGAACATTTTCTGTACGAACCCATACCATTCCTCCCCGTCCGTCACTGACGCGCTGCATCTTCTCCCGAAAGTCTATGTAACCGTCGAGGCCCTTGGTGTTCTCCCCTCTGTCGAGTTTCTTCTCCATGAACTCTTTCAAGACTCCGTACGACGCGCTTGCATCCCGTTGCATGCCAGCCCCGGCGTTCTCGTCCCTATTGACAACACGGAAGAGGGCCTCCTCGTCGAGAGCGACGTCTACTATCTCCTCGACCAGCCCATCCTTGACGGCCTGCAGGAAGTCCGAGATATCCACGTCCAGCCCCCCCGCTGCTTTCAGTGCAACCTTCGCGGTCACCACTGCCACCTGGGACGGCGTGCCGCGCGTAAAAAACAACGACGCACATCGGTTGGAAGCAATTCGTCGTTGCTCACTTCTCAGGGCTTATTCTCCATATCTACCAACTCCGACATCGAAGGCCCCAATGGGAAGGTCTGCGGATGTGCCTCCAACCAACACCCCAACTCAAGAATTGAGCAGCATCTGCACCAACCAGGGTTCAACCTGCGATCGGCGAGGTGACACAACAACATGTGTCTTACGTACCTGCAGAACAGGCGCAATCTTCTTGACCCAGTTGCGCCTCTCGCGAAACCGGTAGCCTTCGCCGTTCATGCCGCATGGTACATTTTCCATGTCGACCGGGCATAAGAAGTGCAGCGTCATGTCCTTCATCGCTAGGCCGCGAAGCTTGCTGAGGGGGCTCCTCTTCCCCTGAGTCTCGATTCTCTTCACCACCACCATGTGCGGGTAAGGATAGTTGGGGGCCTGCAACCTCTTGAGGCACATGAGGTTTTCCTGGATGCCTCCCTCAATCCGATCCACAGTGGCGGCAATCCTTTCAAGCAACGCCTCCTCGCCCTGGGAGTTCGCCTGCGACAGTTGAAAAGTTGCAGCAGGGACGACTCACGGTGGTGTACGACCTCCCGTCCCCGCGAACATCATGGCTGCGATGCGACTTCGTAAATCGTGCATCCATGCCATGCTTACTTTCGGTACTTTGAACTAGCGAGCAACAAGCGAAGGTAGGGGAAGGCACGGAAACTGTCCCGTGCTGGGTTAGTGTTGCAACTATTGCGCGTGTTTCCAAACCACACAGGCACAAGCACGCCCAGGAGTTGGTCATCTACGAGGAAGGGTATGGTATCTGTACGCCTCGTGCGCGCGTGATGTCGATTCTAACACAACAAAGCTTATTTTGTGATATCTTCGTAGAGATAGCATGTTGGGCTCGCTATTTAGGCATGGTCAATTCAGTAGAAAATACCGCGTCTCCGCAAAAAGGCACACCAGTAAAACATGCCATGGTCAAGAGCAAATCGTTAAAGAACAAAGAAACTTACGAGAGGGTGAATATGATTGTTGGTGGGTTATGATATCGGCACAAGAGCATTTCATGACCGTACGAGTCGTGGCGACGGTTGTATTTCTGTCATCAGTGAAAAACAGGCTATTAGACTATAGGTGAACGCAAAAAAGGGCTTCTAGAAGAGCCGTATTTGATGGGAGGCGTTGTTCCGTATCCCGCAAACCCATCCTAGTAAGCCATCGTCTGAACCACAATTTATTAAATGTCTTGCAAACGAATGCAAACGCGGCCATGGACCCCACGCTCACCGACGGACCAGAGAATGTGTATCGGCCCTCCATGTTGGCAACCCTTGCCTCGAAATCTTGGAAAATCACGCCTGTGGGAGTGATCGCGGCGAAAATCCATGGTGGGGGGGGTCATTCGACGTCTGTCTGCTTGCAGTACGCATGAGGAATCCGTGGGGTAGCCCAATCGGCGTCCAGTGATATACGCTGTAATCCGTTGAAGCCACATTTGATTGGTGAAAACGAGCACACGAAGGTGCCTTGATCTACTCTGCTCTCTGTGTTGGTTCTGCGCGACAAGCGCACCAAATTTATGCACTACACAGTTTTCGAACACGACAACGACATCATGTGGCGACAGCAAGATGAACAGCAACATTGTGACTTGTGCCGACGTGCACAACATGTGCTGCACAACCGGCAGGTGGCAGCTACTACCAGACCTATGCCAGATGCAGAATTTGCGGATTGAACAAGAGTACTAGATAAGGAAGCACTTGGTTGCCTCGGAACCGAGATTACAACGTACGTAGACAACACCCAAGCACTACACCTCGGTCAAGTCGGATGTCGACCATGCGTACAAATTCAACGGCCGCCGCCCCTAGTCCCCCAATCTCGGGACTACATTGTGGGCATCCAGTGCTGTCCAGAAGGTTGTCTCCAGCGCGAGTTGCCTGGTGGGTGCGAAGGTGCACGATTTAGTCCATTATTGAACGTCTTGTATCCAAACAGATGGCCCACATACGCACCATCGAAGGCCATTCTAAAGAGGCACCTACGTTGCTAGTCGTTGTGGCCTACTCCCAGCTCTAGAACTGAAGGGCTTGCAATGCGACGCTGTTGAAAAAAAAGTGAGCCTGCTAGCTCACTTGGCCACGTCCTACACCACGACCAAGGGATAGCCACACAAGAGTAGCGACTACACGCACATATCGCACAAATGGTTCATAACTCAATTACGTATCACAGGGCCACAAAGCAATTTGACATGCTGTCAAGTTGGCGGTGCACGGCTAAACGGCTGCGCAAAGCTGAACGCGCTCGGGAACGTGTGCTACATCCCGGGAACAGAGAAGTGTACAATGCTACATTTCCGACGAGAAAGTTTTGCCAGAGAACCTACCGTGTCAGCCAAGGGCATCGCGTCGCCGTGTTGAGGGCACTCCAAAAAAACTCTCGAGCACAGTCCGGAAACTCTAGGAGCATCGACCTTACGACGGAGATGACGTATGACAGCGCCGTCCACGGGGCAGGACTGCTTCTATCGCCGTACACCTGAGCGGTGAGTTCGTTGCCGTAGGACGAATACTGTACCACCACTGCAAACGTTCCGCTCTCGTCTCCGTCGCCGAGGCGACCATGCACGAGCACCCCGGACCGCCAAAACGTCTGCACACCACCAAGGATGCAGCATCGCGTCAAAACCTTTTCGATCGTACCGGGCGGTACACCAAGGAAAATCTTCCAACTGGCGGTGAGTGCAGGTATGAGGCCCGATCGGAACGTGTCGACCACTTTGCCGACACGCTCGGGGTGGCCTGTCTTTAGCCTAAGCAGAACTACCAGACCCTCCGCGGGGTCGTTTTCGAGCGGAAACGTGAGACCCAGGGATGCAAGAGTGGGCAAAACGTGCCCGGACAGGCCGGCAGGCCAGATCACTCGCGCCAACCTGGGCTCCAGTATTCCCTCTCTCTTGAGTCTGTGCGACGAAACAATGTCCGAGGGGGCGTCCAGGGTAATTCGCGCGTCGCTTGCGTCCCCAAGCTTCACAGACCCGTCGAAGGTCTCTTTGTCCTTGTGGTTCAGCAAGGGTTTCAGGATTTTGGGGAGCCAAACCACGTCCACAAAGACGAACTTGTCGTGGCGAACGAGGGATCCATCGAACTCCCTGCAAACAGTGTGTTGCGGGGGCATGGGTAGAAAGCGCCGGTTGCGAGTACAACAAATCGACTAGCTGCTGATGAGGAAGTGGGCTGCTGAACTGGTCTCGAGATAGCTGATAAAGAAATCACCGCTGAGAAACTATTGCGCGGAAGCACACCAACCAACAGCAACCTCATTTGCGTTGGTGTGATTCGCAAACAAGCTTCACCCATTGCTGCAGAGCTGGTTTGGTTACCTGATCGACAGCGCTCCTTCCAACGCGTTCTCGGCATTAGTGACTGTCAAGCCTTTTGGCTTAAGCTCAAGGACCGTCTCCTGCCATATGGCCCTGAGCTCTTCCACCGTGATTCCCTGATACACGTCTAGCTTGGGCTCTACCGTTTCCGCGCCTTCTTCGCCAGAGTCGACCAACGTCGGCACTGTCATCTCCACGGGGTCCCTCTGCACATGACATCAAGGGACCTACCATAAGGTATTGTTCAAGGGTTGCGTCCAAATCCGACAAATGCTAAACGCAGGATCGAGTGCACACCAAGTAGACGCAGGCGGAACGAGTATGGCATACAAACCAAATCGAAAGAGACATTTAGAAGCTCACGCATCACCCCCAAGTCTAACTCACCGTCCCCGGTCGAGAGCTTCAAGGAAAGTAACAGCGGTGTCCCAGCTGCGAGGAAGCACCATCTGAGCTCCTCGAAGACCATCGTGGCGCTTGTTCACTAGGCGGTCTACCAGACCGGGTGAAGGGTTCTGGTCCATATTATCCCGCCAATCGCGCGCCCAACGCCCTCCCGAAGCCTGAGGTCCACTGCCACCCTCTCCTTGTCCATTCATTGTGGTCGAGCAGCAGCTTGGTAGGCAAATGCCGTCGTACAGTGTTGTTGAGCAGCAGCTCGTTAAAGAAACGTCATCCTCCACCCTAACGGGCTGCATACCGCTGCGAACCCAGCTTGCCAGCCACGTTCGGCAGGACTCTTCCATTCTCCGACCGAATTCCCTAGCCCTCCCACCCACGAGATCACACTTTGTGGCGACGAGGATAACCTCGTTGTAGGGAACCCTCCGAGAGATGCATCGCAGCCAGTCACACACGCACAACTCTTCCAGCTTGCGACAGTCGTTCTCTACCTTACTGCCGATCCCGCCGCCCGTGTTTCCGAACGCCTCCGCGTTGCACACCAGCACGCATACAGACCGTGGTGTCAGGAACATGTGCAGCAGCCCCGTGTAGGCCACCTGTCAGAATGTTGGGCATAGACTATGTCAGCTGTGGCAAACAATGTAGCATCTCACTTCATCTTCTTAAGCTGATCGGTTTCAGGAGCTCGAAAATCCACGCCACCAAAAAGTCAAAACACCACCTGTTACCTGTCCGGCGCAGTCGTAAACCCGAACAGATGCACCATTTAGCACCATGGACTCGACGTCGGCAAATACCGTACTTTCCTCCTTCCGCTCGCCCGTAGGAGCTGCTTGGTTGGCTTTCATACTCTGGCGCAAGCTGCAGGAGGGTTCATGGACTCGCAGCCGACGTACATAGGGAACATTGAGCACGGTCATCGGGCGTACGCGGCGCGTTGGACTCGTTGCCTTCAAGTGTCGACGGGTATCGAAAAGTTTAACCATATGCAGCCCGACCAATTCGGTCCTGCCTCCGGCACCAATGCCTTTCCGACGTTTTGAGTGCCGTACTTCGAGTGGTACGATATACAAGACCAACCGAGCTAACGCTTGGACGCTTTGTATGGAAAACCGAACCATGGAACGACGGTTGGTTCTTGCCAAGCCTCGAGCTTCAGCAAGCCGTAGGCTTCAGGCGAAGATGTCTACGCAAACATCATGCGCAATACTCACGTTCTACTTTCGCTGAATGGGACTGTTCCACATACCGCAAGCTACGGTGCAGAAAATCACAGGGATTGCCCACACCTCGTTTTCCCCGCGCCTTCCTGCCCGACTAGAATGATCTTGATGCTGTTGCGCTGGATCCGGCAGGGGTCAGCGTATAGGTCCTCGAAATATCCTTTGATGTCTTTGGCGCCTTTGTCCACAATGCATTCTGGCGGTTCAGCCCATGGGTTGTCCTTGACAGAGAGAAAAGTGCTATCGAAGACGTCCAGCAACCGGCACAGCTGGCTAGGGATTCGTCCTCCTACCCAGAAAAGTGGAGTACGCCGATTAGAGCATGTGCGATAAAATTGCTTAAGCATCGGCGCTCACGAGGTCGAATGCCAAAGGTCCCAACCCCGGTTACCCTGGCGACTGCAACAGCTCCCGCATCCACCGTGTTCGGGTTTCTAGCCTGGTGGCTGTACAGCGTTCGACGACAATTGCCAAGATAGATATAGCGCAACATGAGACGTGTGCGGCACACCGGAGTGTCACCCTTCAACAGGCGCGTCCACCGAGCAGAACTTCCAAAGCCCAAATCGATTGTACTGCGCCAGGAATGCTGAAGGAAAGGGCACGTGTCATCTGATGGATGCCAGCAGTTGCTGCAGCTGCCATGTCTACCTCTTGGCCTCCAGCCTCCGTGTACGCACAACACGACAGAATCGATAAAACTCCTCAATAGGTGGGCCGAAGTGGCATTACTAGCGACAACCCACGTCGACAACAGATCAAGCATGCCCCATCTGCGCGTACAAGGCGGGGATAACTGACTTGCTGTCGCTTCCCTCCTCAAGGCCGGCACCATGAACGTCTTGGGTGTGGTCCCAGAGAGCTACATCGCATTGAGAAAGCGGAGACGACCAGACAGAAACATAGACGACCAACCCACGGTCGCAGGTTAAGCCATGCACAAGGTCGGAAACTCTGGGTTTGATCAGAAACGCCAGCTCTTTGACATGTTCGTGGAAGATGGAACACCGAAAAAACCCAACGAGGTCGAACATTGAATTCGAAGGGGGGCGTCGAGACGACCAGGAAAAAGCACCCCGGCGCTTCTAGCGATATTTTGAGCTTCAATACTTTCGCGTTCAATGTTTCGGTCGTGTTGGATATGCAGTATGCATGCACGGCCGTTAGGTGGAACGGAGACATTAATGGGCAGGTTCCCCGTAATGCTACCTGCTCGAGGGCGACGACTCTTCATCCCATGGTGCCGATTACTCGAATCGGATATTCACGTCCGCGCTTACAACCAAACAAGCTTCCTCCGGTCCATCAGATAAGCCCACTTAGGAAAAACCACCAGATAAGCTCACTTTGAAAAAGCTCATTTACACCGCCAACATAGGCCATATGACTGTGAGACTGCCTAGAAAGGTCAAAGTGTTGTTAGGAATACGATTGAGAAAAAAAAAATCGACACGGGGTTAGCATGTTGTCGTCCCCAGGGGTAATCTTCGTGACATACGGAAGATATAAGCCGGTTCGGAGAAACAAGCGGTGTAGCGCGATCAAGAATTCGATTTTCGTGAGGTTCTGGAGCATCGCCCAAAACCGAGATCGTTTCAGGGACCCCGACATAGCACCACCTATACAGGTCCCTCTGCTTTCCTTGGGTGGGCTAGTTGCATTGGGTGCATTGGATGCTGTGTTGGTCGGCTCGGCGAAAACGACTGTCTTACGCAGTGTTCCGAAGCGTCATGAGAACCAAGAAAAAACGCAACTATAATCTCTTTCATTTTGAACCGACCAACCGGTGGATAAAAGCGTTCACCTCCATCCACCCCTGCTTACCATAGGTGTATATGGTGCACCGTTAAGGTATCGGTAAATACCTCGGTTTTGAGTCCCTCTCCAAGTCTTCACAAAAACATCGAAAATATCCATTTAGCAAAACTCCCAAATGGGCACACGCTATTCCGCTCTTTTTGCAAAGTGATCTTATTTGATGGACCGGAGGAAATACGAAGGTCCAATGTCGTGCCGGCAACTACGTATCGCGCACCCGATCTCAATTTTCTTGCTGAAATGGGCAAATGGAGGCGGAAATACGTACTTAAACAGATTGTCATATCGTTATGGCTTGAAGCTCCTTAGAGCTGGCGGGAAATATATTCTAGAAGCCGATGCACCGATCCCTGGGGTATCATGCAGGCGACCTTCGGACGTCGCAATAGGATAACTCGGCAACCTACGACAGATCCTCGTGTGTTTCAACAAGCTCAGCGGCGCGACCGTCGAATACTCTAAATCGCAGGAGCCATGCGGGTGGTAGCTCTCAGCAAGCCGAAGGTCTTCAAGCTGAACGACAACCAATTTGCAGGTGACATTGCTTTGGAGGACTTCTAAGCATGATTCTTGTTGGGTTCAACAAGCTTCGTCACGCGATTCTCACTTTTTGTTTTGCTGGTACACTGCTGTGCACAGAGGGGCCCACACCCAAGGAGCTGGGAGCCCTAGCAGAGCTCAAAGAGCCTATTTTGAGCTACGACCAGCTTACAGGTAACATGTGAGGTCATACATCAATTTTTGTTTATCTCGGAAGCCTGCCACTTCCAGGCCAACTACTCGCCTACGCCCTACAAAAGGAGGGAGGCCATTTGTAAATCACCGATATTCCTGTACTTTCTCATTCGCTGCAGGCCCCATCACACCGGAGCTGCTCACAGTGCCACAAGTCCTTAAACTTCGTTCATTCAAACTCAGCGATGAGTCAACAAGTTCGTGCGTCATGCGGTCGTGCTCATAAAAAACACAGGACAATTCTTCTAAAAGACGGGACAACGTGTATATATGCCCGCGCTGTGCACGTTCTAGAGGAGCCGTTCCCGAGTCGCTGGGAGCTCTCAGTAAGCTGCAGGAACTCTCATGTTCAACAACCAACTTAACGGTAAAGAGGAATACACTACGGTTCTGCGCTACCCATCTTGTAGGAAGCTGCTCCGCCGGCTTCTAGAATCTCACTCGCCCACGAGGCAGGATTCATTCTAACACTTGTACCTAGAGACTCACCGCTAAGCTTGTTTCGGCCAAGGACGAGATACTTCAGTGCTGAGAGGTTTCCCAGCTCAGGCGGGACGGGGCCTGCAACAGGGAGGGAATTTGAAGTTGTAAACAACAAGTAACAGCAGTGTTTCTCCCGGCTTCAACAAAATCTGAAAGTTGCGACGCAAGTGTTCTAGACAGCTCTCGCCTACGCATAGGCAGGACACATCTTCCAGAAATCGGACAATACTTCAGAGGCCTACAACCAGCCCGCGTTACCGAAAACGACGTTGTATATTGTGTAGGACTCATACCTGATGAGATGGTAGCTCTGCCCAAGCTGAAGGAGCTTGAGCTGCAGAGCAACCGGCTTACCTGCAAGCGACTTGCACTGGCATTCTAATATTGCTCTGCTCCTAGGAAATCGACCAACGCCCGGCTCGGGAATCCACCGGGTCAATTTTCTAGAAGTGGGGAGCAAAACAGAATGCCAAAAGTGCAAGCCGCTTACCGGTAAAATGGTTGCTCTGCAGCTCAAGCTCCTCCAGCTCGGTCAGAGCCCTCGCCAGTACGGATCCTGCACAAGATACAAGGCGGGTTCCTGAAGCAATGTGCCGTCTTCTAGAAGGTGCATCCTGCCTATACGTTGACAGGACCGATGTCCTCGAATATTATTAATGTTTTTTTTTCTGTACCGGTTCGGTTCCCAAGGAGCTGGGAGCTCTGTCCGAGCTCAACAAGCGTCGGCTGAGCGACCACCAGCTTTCAGGTAAAAGACGGGCAGTACAGCAGTATTGTTTCCCCGGATCTTCAGAAACCGTTGTTTCAAGAATATGAATCCCGCCGACGGCGTCGGCATGACTCATCCCGAAAGGCGGAATAGCCACTCACCGCTCAGCTGGTTGGCCGCAAGTTTGAGATACTGTAGCGTGGGTGAGGCCGGGGAATTCCTTTTTGCTAGTACCCGCTGAAATCGTGTTGGCTTTTTCGCCGCAGGTCTTATCCCGCCGGGGGTGGGAAAGCCAGTATCACAGGCGTACCTCAGCTTGCGGTAAACCAGCTGAGCGGTGAGTACTGACATTGTGGTGGACAGCAACGGCGCAAGGAGCATCCATGAATCTCCCACGCGTGTGTGCGTGGCTTTCTACAACTCGCGGCGAAACCTTCTACAAGTGGGGCATGATAGGTGCCCGGCTCTTACCGGTAAGCTCGTTGCAGGACAGGGAGAGCTGCAGCAGCCTGCTGAGAGATCCCAGCGCCACAGGAATAGGTCCTGCACAAGGGGCACGGCGACAAAAAAAACAAATGTAGTTTACCATTCTCTGGAGTATTGCGCCGTGTTCTGCAAGATGTGTCCTGTCGACGTGGGTTAGTAGGCGTTGTTCAAGAAGCCGGGTGATTCGCTATATTCCCCGCTAAACTCCCCGCTGAATTCTTGGTTGCACTTTCGCTAGGCCCCATCCCGCCGGAGGTGGGAAACCTCGCACTCCAGCGCCTCAACCTTTCGCTCAGCAAGCTGAGCGGTGAGACGCGTATTGCAACTAGGAAAACGAAAAATTGACACAGTTTCGAGTATCCTTCTAGAAAGCGGGGAACACTTATTTCTCCCCCCGCTGAGTTCGTGTTTGCTCGGTCGCCCTCCAGGTCTCATTCCGGCAGAGCTGGGAAACTCTCAGCTCTGGAACACGTCGATCTTCCAGGGAACAAGCTCGCCGATGAGTCCCACAACGCATTTTTGAATCACTGTGACGATGATTGCTTGTTCTTAGGTAGACATATTGGAAATATATCATGGAGTATTCTCACCACTCAACTCACCGGTCAACTTGTTACCACCACCGAATATGTCGCCGAGGTTGAGGACCTGCAGGGTGCTGAGTTTTCCTAGCTCTGGCGGGATGGGCCCTGCACCCGAAGAATAAAAAAGTCAACGTGTAGAACACGCGGCGAAGTTTCAGAATTCCGTCGATTTAGAGTGCCACAGATAATGTTCGGTTTGTTTCCCACCCACGTTGTTTCAAAATAATAATTCGTCCTTTATCCTCCTGGACTCACCGTCCAACTTGCTGTTGCCGAGGTCGAGGTGTTCCAAGGCGTTCAAACTTCCAAGCTGCGGCGGGATGGGTCCTGTACAGATGCAAGCAAGCCAGCAGGGATGATGTTGCTGGGACTCCGAAGAACGAATCCGTTGTTTCTAGAACGCCTATTCACCCACGTGTAGGCGGGAGTGAGTCGAAAACACAATCAAACTATTTCGATATCTATGCAGGTGCCATCCCGGCGGCGCTCTAAAAAGCCAACCTGGCTTAACCTGTCGAAAACCGGCCCAGCAGTGCGGGATGGTGTTGACATTTTGATATATACTGGAGTATGTTTTTGTATCTGGAGAATATGCATGTGTCCCGCCCGCGCGTAGGCGAGAAACATGCTGAAGAACCACCCTCCGGCGTATTCGACTTGGTTTGTTGTTTGTACGATGAGTCCTTGGTTTCTCGCGTTACTCAAACAGGCCCTATTCCGGAGGAGCTAGGCAACCTCGCAGTCCTGACGCACCTGTGGCTCAATGTAAATCGCCAGGAAGGCATTTAAGTATGTAGCACTGCAGTATTTCGTCTCCTCAGAGGAATGTTGAATCCTACCCACCACGCGTAGGCAGGACCGATGTTCTAGAGGCCGAGGTATTATTGAAACAACGTAAAAATCATTGTTGTATGACCGCTGCTGTGCGGCTCATGCAGGACGCATCCCCAAGGAGCTTGGAGCTCTAACTAACCTGGAGCAGCTTTAGCTGGAACGAATCCGCTCGCCGGTGAGGGGCGTGTCAAATGGGCAATCGAAATTGCCAATTGTCTCTCCTTTCGGTAATGCTATATCCGACACCGGTGTCGAACTTCCTTATATACGACACCAACGAGATCTCGGCCCACAGAGCACCAATCGCCTAAACCTCAAATGCACTGTGTAGCCATGGCCAACAACAATCTAGAAATACAACTTTGAGTCAAACCGATCCACTGGTTGCGGAGATATCTTCGAAAAAGGGGGCTCAGCAGCATCGCAGACAGGGGTGACCAGCACAAATACAGCTGTAACTTCGCGCCCAGGACTCCAATCGGCCAACCACAAACTGCGCTGTGTAGCCACCGTCTACAGCAATCGCGCAACACAAACTTCGACCCAATCGACGCAGTCGTTGCGGAGATATGCTCAAAAACGGGGCCCCCGCAATCTGACCGAGTGGATGTCAGCCACGTTTCCGGCCGTAACTCTTCGCTCATGCGTCGGAAGAGCGCAGGTGCAGTCGTCACGGGTAGGTATGGGCCGCAGCTATCGTTCAAGCCACTGTACAGCGCAATCCGTGCAGTGGTTGTGGAGATATGCCCACACCCGGTGCCACGGCGGCCCCGAGGGTGGCGTCGTGTATAAGCTTATATACGACACCGCTTGTTTCTCCGCGCGAAGGGCTTGGACGGACGTCAAACAACCTGCACTGCATTGGTATGACCCACAGCTATCGTTCAAGCCGCTGTACTGCGAAATCCGTGGAGTGGTTGTGGAGATATGCCCGCACCCGGTGGCACGGCGGCCCCGAGGGTGGTGTCGTATATAAGCTTATATACGACACCACCCGTTTCTCCGCACAAAGGGCTCGGATAGACGCCAAACAACCTGCACTGCATTGGTATGAGCCGCAGCTATCGTTGAAGTTGCTGTTCAGCGAAATCCGTGCAGTGGTTGTGGAGATTCGCCTACCCCCGGTGGGGCGGTGGCCCCGAGGACGGTGTCGCAGATAATCTTATCTTCTACACCGCCCGTGCAGCCAACGTGGAGTACGCGGATAGTTTGTGCGGAGGTTTGCCTCCTGCCAGTGAAGCAGTGTCTTGCGTTGGTAGGACTTGACTATTGAAGCTGCCGACAAGTTGAACCACGTGGATGGCGCGATTTCACGCTATGGGGGGCACGGCGGCCGACGGCAAGGTCGGAAACAGACGTTTGAATCGGTGTACATCCGGCCCGTGCGGAATTGATCACCCGAGACATCTTGGAGTCTTCGAACGGCCGAGTACGTGGGAGATGTGTATGTGAAGGGCGCGGGGCGGTGGGTGGGATTAATTTTGCTTCAATGTGCTCAAGCGTCGGCAGCTTTTGAGGTAATTTTCCCCTCGCTTTGTTTCACACCCAGAAGACACGAAGCCTGAAGCCACATGGGGTCACCCCGTGACACGATGACCGATAGGAGAGGAGAAAAATCACTTTCCCATAAGTTTCCCATATGTCGTAATGCTACGCCTGACAACGACATCGAGACTCGCTCAAGCTGGACCTGCAGCGACTGTCACTGAAAGAAGCTCAACTTCACGGCATCCAGGTAGATCTACCTTACGAACCAGCCCTCCCGAATCCTCCGCATGGCGCGCTGACGGTTTAACCTAGGCGTCATGTGTTAAGTCCTAGGGCTTGCCCTCTACGGCTGGGAGCCCCAGACCCAGACCCAGCTGAGTCTCTCATCCTTTTAACCCTGCGGCTCCTGTCCATCCGTCCTTGCGCATTACCGATCGGCTTAGCAGAGACGGTCTGCGTAGGCGGTGCACCATTGTCATCGCCGCGCTCCTCCTGTTTCCTCTCCGGCTTTGATTTCTTGGGCCTTCCAGCCTTTTTGACCTGCGCGGGATTCTTGGCGTTGTTCAGTCCGGTAGCCTCCAGGATCTGGAACCTCACCCACTTGTCGAGGCCAGCCTGGATCTCCACGGCCTTGGCGTGTGTCACCGACCTCAGGATTTCTGAGACGTTTTCCTTGGCCTTGGCCATCATGCTCGCGAACACGCGGCGCTCATCACTCGCTGATCGAGCCTCAGCTGATTTTCCCGCTCGTTCCGAGGGATGCACACCGTCTTCCCCGTCGTCGTCGTCGAACGTCGGCCCCCAGTAGTTCTCGTCTACGCCGTGGTCACATCCGTCCCAGCCGTTAACGTGCCCTGCCTCGTTCAACACTTTGGAGACGGTCCATGGCTCGTGCTTGCCGTCAAGCGATTGCCGCCAGCGTTTGTGGACGCTGTTGCCGTCGAAGCGGTGGTCGAGCACGACCCCCTTGAACTTGCCGCCGAGGAAGCGAACTAGCGCGGCGAAGTAGTGCCTGCAAAGCAGGCCGTGTCGCAAAAGCTTGAGGCAAGAGCACAAGTGGAAGCCATCGGGTCCGAAAACCACAACATGGCCTGGCCGTGCAGGCGTGAGCTTGTATCGCACGGCCACCGCAACGTGGACGCGAAGTACGCGGATGAGGTCGAGAAGTGCCTCCAACGACGTGCGCGCCCATACGCTGCTGTCGTTAGTCGATTCGGCCTCAGGTCCACACATGCAGTCCTTCTCCAGGTCAGTGTCGGCCGGCGCTTCCTCGAACAGGTTGAGGTCGAACTCTGCGGCCTCAAGCTTTCGACGAAGGACGCCCTCCCCAAGAGGACCGGGGCGGCCGTCGTCGTCCGCCGCGCCTGCGCAGATGATGTCGACGTCGTACTACTGCGTTCCGCCGATCTCGTCTCTAGCCTCCTGCCGAATGGAGCGGACCGTGATAAGGGACACATATTGTTTGAGATCGCCAGCGGTACGCGCACAAGGAGCTGCTTCGAATTCGCGGAACAACAATGGGGCCATCTGGATATTGTACCCAGAGACGGCAGGCGTGGTTCGGGTATTATTTGTATTTCAATACATCGACCTTCTCACCTGTTGGCAGTACTGGCTTGCGCCAACCCGTTCGAGCTCCTCCCGGATCGGGGCGAAGATTTCCTGCAGATGCTTCGTCTGGAATGGCAACTCCGCTCCCATGCCTCTCGTTCCCACCCTGAGCGAAGGATGTCCGGCGGAGTGTTCGAAAGGGAGTTCAAACCTTGTGAGTTTCGGCTAAGTGGAAAAAATGGGAACGGTGCCGATGCGTGGCGGCCAACTTTTTTGTCAGGGGTTAGGGTGGAGACAAGCCAATTTGTGCGAGTTGATCCCAAAGCTGCCTAGATGAGTTTGGTTCAGGGTTAATCGCGGGGGTTGCGATAGAGGCACTACACCCGGGGCAGAGCACGCGCAGCGTAGCTCACCATCGTTGATATAGCTAAGGCGGATGGCGCACCGCTTCAAGTTCTGACTTATTGAAACTCACCTGCTGTACTCGATGTCCATCTTGTGGTACAGAAGTTGGAGCTTCTCCCACAGACCGCACAGGGATAGCTTCTTGTGCACTCCCGATCTTTTGGTCACCCCGAACATGGTGCGTTGTGTAGCAACCATCCCCATGGTGAGGAGTGTCGGCCGGCATGAGAAGGCCCACTTCGTCTTGTTCCTTGACAACAACAGCGCGGGATGGACGTTTCCGGAATGTTTCCGGAATGAAGGCTTAGCGTGCGGAACGGCTGTGACTGCCTCTGTTACTACACTCAGGACAGCAATTTGGGCGCCGTACGCGGAACGACCCTCGCGTGAATTCATTGCCCCCGCCTCATGGTAACTCACTAGATGAGGTCGTCGATGTACTCCTCGCACTTCTTGCCGTTTACCATCCTCTCCAGGTCCACCCGGTACCTTGTGAAGGCCTGCGACATGGCTTCGTTGTGGCAGAGGTTATATCACGCACCCCAACAGCCGATAGCTGCTTTATCTCACCTCCGGCGTTGCTGCGTACGCAGAACTGCGGATAAGACGGAGCATTTTCGCCCGTTCTTCCTTGTCGGGAAAGGACGAAGAACACTTCCTTAGCACGTTCTTGAATATGTGCCACAAGCAGAAGAGGTGCGACGTGGTCAGCGTCAGTGAGCATGACCTACGTCAAACAGACGAACTCACACACGCCCCGAAACGAACATTGGCGTAGGAGTAGGGCGAGGGTAAAAGTACGAAGACGTCCAATCAACGTGGTTTTTTTTTATGGTGGTGAGTGGAAGGCGTTAGCGACTTGGCGTTCGGGGAGCGATGAGGGTAAGGGACACACGGGCACCTAACACACAACGGACACAAAAACACAACCCGCCACACGGAAATATTCGGGAACGAACGTGTACACCCAAACCGTGTGCAGGCGCTGCGTTGCGCACCTTGGGCCGGCTTTCCTCCGTTGCTGACAGTTTAACGGCCAATCGAAGCAAGCCGAATAGAGGCGGCACCTCTCGCGCTCTCTGAAGACCCCTTACGCACAGTTTGAGCTTGTCGGGTGCTCTCTTGATGTTAGCTTTCCTGCCCGAATTTTTGATACGATTGTGGCAGTAAATTTACCAGTACCAAAAGCACCAGCTCAAGCTACCGAATACAGATGCGGCCCGGAGATAAGAAACGTGAATTCCGGGTCGAGGCTTAATATCTTAGTTCGGCAGCAAACACCAGCAAGTGCAAGGGCGCACGAAAAAAACTCCCTGGACCCACACTCCACTTTTTGTATTTCGGGCCTTCTGGGGGGGGGGGGGTACTCTAAAACCTATATAATAAGATATCTGCGAAGGGTCACACGGAGGAGGACATTCATGTTGTGCACGCGATCCCCCCTTCGGCCCCCTGATCGATTTTTTGTGATTCGGTCAACGACATCAAGAGAGCACCCAGCGACCTCAAACTGTGCGTAGAAAGTCTTCTTTAGGGCACGAGAGGTGTCGCCTCTAAGCGGTTTGCTTCATTTGGCATTTAAACCGTCAAACACGACGAAAGTCCGTTTTCGTTTTTTGGGCCCGCCGAGGGGGGGGTGTACTCATAGTCGTGCATGCCGTAGTCGTTTGACCGTTGACCTCGCATCCCTACAAAGCCGGGACGGAGCACGCCGGGTTCTCACCGGACCAGGCTCTCACATCACCAAGCGCGAAGCGCCGTGAGGTATTTGGCGAGTCGCATGAAGGGTGAGCTGCATCCTGCTAAGGGTGTTCGGCATCTTGTGCTTACTTCCTTGCGTACGGATGACAGCTACGTATGACTTAATTTATTTTCTGGTGCTTTCACTTCCAGAGACAGTTGTAAGCACTGTGTAACTGCCTCGAGGAAGCTTGCCCATTTTAACACAACGTGGTACGATCATCCCCCGTTGCGCAGAGTGAGGTTTCTCGACCCCGCACAACATGATCTACTCGACCACCATTATGGTTACCGCCAAAAAAAAAAAACGAGGTAAAAAAAAAACGGTAACCTGGTTGCCGAGTTCACGAAGTGAATTGGCTTGTTTTACAACGTCGTTGCCAAGCGACGAAAACCCAACCCCGATGGGGGGGGGGGGTCCAGGGATATATTTTTTGTGCGCCCTTGGCATTAATTCATTATTTGCCCGTTTCTCATGATTCTCGGTTGCCGGATCATGACGATTGTCTCAAATCCTTAGTTTCTTGCTTCTTTGAGGGCTGGAAAGCTGCTGGGCCATCACACAACCACCCGTCCGTCGCGTGGCCCCGCCGGCAAAACAGGACACAAGCGGAGCCGCAGCCGCAGTCCAAAAAAAAGAGGGGGCCGAAAACATATACTTCCAAGTATGTACAATACCAATCTCAAGCCCACCCCCCTACCCGCAATAAAAAGTACAGAGCTCACGGGGTCTGCGGTGCGGCGGTTTCGTATTTGAATATTTAGCTCCTGGAGCCCTAGTTTAGTAATTCTCAGGGTTCTATTTGGTACGTATCCTGTTGTTTCTTATTTGGATGTTTCGTACCCCTCCTCTCAGTTTGACGTGTGTTTCTTGCTCCTATTTTCTTATTTTTCGTGGAAATCTGAGCGTTGTTTCTTAACTCCATTTTATTGTTTTCTTTCGAATTGCATTTATTAATATTTTCTACCGCCCGAGGGAAGAGAGAGATACCAAACTGGCAGAGAGCACATTTCCCGCAGACACGTTTCTGCGGCCTTTCTATCGTGCCTCTGCCTCTCTCCCGATAAAGACTGTCTCTCTCTTCCCTCCAAACAGCAACTGAGGGTGCCCTCTCCTGCGGTGGAGGGAACCAATCTTACTGCACACAGTAGTCTCAGATGACCAAGTCCCTAAAATGGTACCCTACCATTTTCTTCGCCTCACATACATACAGCTATAAGTTCTACCGGATACTTAATCCGTCCTCTCCTTTCCCCCACCTTCGAAAGAAAAGGGGTGGGTGGGTGGGAAAAGACTCCACTTCCTGTCAGCTCCAGAGGCTGGCACACCGTTAGAAGCCTTCAATGTGACCACCTCGCTAGTTGTCTCTGCGATACTCTCTCTCTGGCACGCTAAGACTCTGTGGACACAAGGCTTGAACAGAATGGTAACCTATGCAACGTATGTATGTAGAACTATTGCTGCTGTAGACTAACTCCCTGCTCCAATTCGTACGCCGGGAGGGAAAAACTCGTGGCATGCTGCGAGGAACGTACCGATATGCGTACCTTGTAGACTTGTACGTGCGTGTCTTGTGATACACAGAAATTTTACACCAATACACCAATACACACGTGGTGACCGGCTTTTGTGAGGCAAACTGATCGTATCGCTCCGTAGGCAACACCGCAAGCTGGTGTAGATCGCAAACATCAAGTTGCATCCTAACATTTTTGTGACACAAAAAAAGGTGCGACTTCGCTCCGCGACTAGTCTAGACTACAGACGTATGTGTGTAGTCTAGATTATAGATGAGCCTCTTATTGCATGATCCCAAGTCCACAGTCTCTGTAGACTAGATACACGCACACACGCAGTGGCACTCACGGATGTGTGTGGTTTGACACAGAGGTCACTTGGCTCTGCCTCGACAAAGACGACCCTCACCTACAATGCCTCCTGGGCGAGTCCATCGCATGGCCTTTTGCGCTTGTAGCAGAAATCGCAGGCCCTACTGAACATCATCTCCTCGGCGACCTTGTTCTTCTTGAAGCCTGCTCACGCAATAGTCTATGCCTTCTGATGTGTTCTCTTTTTGTTGGGTGTTGCGCGACCCGTGGGAGGGGGGGGGGGGTAGAGGAGTGGAGTGGAGGGAGGGAGGGAGAGAGGGTGACAGCAACAACAAGTAGAGAGATGACACTTGTTAATAACCGGTTCATTTGCCCCTCGGCCACAAGAGCGCCACCGAGGAAGATGCACACAAATGCATGCGGGGAAACAAAATATGTTTGCCGATATCGAGAAGCGGCGACCAAGAGCAAGAGCCGCTATCTCCGATCCACAGACAGACAGAACGTATACATTGTTTCCCCGCCGAGTCACCTCTCTGTCTCCCGCCCCCTCCCCCCCTCTCACGCTCTCACGGTCACAATCAACGAAAGAGAGGGAAACACACAACCAGCACAGGCATTTCCCGAAAGCTGACGAGTTCAAGGACAATCCAAAACAATCGTATGGCCTAGGTACGCCGCTTGGTTTGTTCCCTGCCCGGCCAAAGCGCGGAATTTGTGTCCCCACCTCGCGAGTGGTGACAGAATATGGGGGCTCGCGATCAGGAGTTGACAGTCCCGCCCAGCCGACCAATCAACTCAGGAGAAAATGAAACCGTAAAAAAATTACCCTTCATTTTCGGAGGAGCACGACACCTGTCGAGCCGCGCTCCCAACACGAGACCGACCGACCACTGGTGGGGGACGGCACACACAACCATAATATCTTCGTGCAGTTTGTTGGGTTGTCGAGGATGGCGGGGGTTGTTCTAGTTGTCACGTTCTCTTTAACCTTGGCACGGACGTGCCTCGTGCTGGATGCGGTGTGCAATCCTGAAGGAGGTCGTGTTGTGGCTCGAGCCGCCCAAAGCATGCGTCGGGCACATTCCTCACGCCCAAATTCGCCTTTGAACTCACCACGACAACACGGCAAGGGCCCTGGCGGCGGTGCTCCTAAAACCAGGTTGGTGGCCATTTGGGAAGGACCGCAGCACACATAGGAGGGCACAGTTGCGTTTTTCACTTTCTCTTTCAGCAGCAGCAGCGAGTGGTGTCACGCCGGCGTGGTGAGAAATCGCCGCCGCAGAGGTGAATCGACAAACCAAAAACTATTGTTCTGTGTTTGCGCCCGAAGTTTCACATTTTCCTGCCGCGGCGCAGCAGCGGCCTAGCCCTGGCCGACCTGACCTCATCCAATCCCACCGTGGGCGATCCTCCGTGTGCTCCGATGAAACCCCAGCGCGCCCTATTCCGCCCCTCCCTTCCCACCAGGAGCATCCATGTCCTGCTTACCAGCATGCATGTGGTGGCTTTACTTGCCCAAGGGGCCGGCGTCCTGAAGTACATGCTTCCGGTTTCCCACTTGTCCTGCTTCGTGTCTTATCGAGTCATGTTGGCTCTGCTTCTGTGCTATGATGTGAGTTTGCTATTTGTTC